CGTTGAACTCGTTACAAGCTCAATACAAATATTTCACATATTACATTAGAGATATTTGAAGCTTCTTAATTTAACAAACCGTATATTCCTTTCGACTTTCATATGTAAATTAGCATTACTCTTTTTATTAATTTTTCCTACAAATCGTGAAGGAAATATCTTAATGATTACACTTGACTACCGAAAAGCTTATCACTTGTCTCAACATCGACATCTCCTCACCTAACATTACCTACACTGCACTCAAACTATGAAACAAAAAATACGGTTATAAAAAGGTGCGTATGGCCGTTGGCAAAATGCGAAATCAGTGAACAAAAGAGCAGTCCAATCAGAATAAAGCAGAAAAATTTCACGCATCGTACCCAACTCCGCTTTATTACATGGCTCCTCGACTCCTTGCGATCCTTGCGAGGCCGTAAGTTCCCGTTCACTCGTCCGCTTACTTTCTTCCACACTTAATTACATTCCGACTTGTGCGGTTCGATATAATTAACCTTATTTACAATTCGTCGTCGTTTCGTAACGCGCCGCATGCGTCATTTTTTTTTTTTTTTTTTTTTTTTTTTTTTTTTTTTACACTGTCTCGTGCATATTTCGATGATCCGCGTTGCGGTCATGCAAATCTGCAAAAACGGCATTCTTCCCAATGATATTCCACCAATACGAGATGACTTTATTCCATTGTTTTATGTTTTATGTTTTTCGTTTTTCGTTTTTCGTTTTTCGTTTTTCGTTTTTCGCTTTTCGCTTTTCGCTTTTCGTTTTTAACGACTTAATTGTTCAATTATACTGAAATAACCGAGAGGTGTGCTCCATGTGATAGGATCGCTCTGCTCGGTTAATAATCCGCTTCTCCGCTTCTACCTTACGATTCGAATCTCTCCGGTATTTTTACTCAAAACAGAGTGTGCGAAATGGAGTATTGCAATATACGAGATGCTGATACAAATTTTTTTTCTTACTCGAGCTGTATACGATAGCTCTGTTGAAAAACGAATAATACGAGGTCAAAAAATTGTTGCTCTTTTCTAACAATTCATTTTAATCATTACGTAAATGATTTATTTAACAAATTGTGATTAATTAGCGATTCAACGTGCACGATATATTTACAATTTTTGCACGACAATCTATCTTCTTAAATATGCAAATGAATGAACTGGCGATATTAATTTAATCAATAATATTCGAAGACTGAAATTTTATTATAAACTTGAAGGGCTTAATATAAAGAATTCTCTAAAAAAAATTTCAGAAAATTTTTTAATTAAACAGTACATTAAAACACCTTGTCATTATAAAAAATTATAATTCTTCTTTTTATTCTTCTTTGAAAAAAAAAAAAAAAAGTGTATCAAGTTGATTATGAAATGCATATTTATTTCTTCCTTTCTTTCATTCAATCTATCGATGTTATAATTATTGCCTCGATAAAAGTCCTGAAAAGCCGACCATGATACTCTGAACTTTTCGGTAAGTGAGTTATTGACATGATCTCGGGCATGTTACATACGCAACATTTTCCAACGAAATAAACACGCAATATTTGTCTGAAATTAGAGCCACTTACTGGCATCTTAAATTCTTATAACGATACCATTGAAAAATTCGCTGACCCGATCGATCGATCGATCGATCGATCGTCGAACATCGAAATGCTCGCTACCTAAAAGTAACGAAACTCTCTATGCCCGACTCCCATCATACGACAACTCGCTTCTGCCGATACATACAGACAAAAGTCATAAATTAGTCGAGCAACGTCGATTCAACGATCTAATTAGCTCCACCTTAACGCATCAAACGCATCTTCTCGATCGACCCTACCTCGTGGTTCCTCCCTAATTAAAAATACCTCCGCCCCAGTGCCAAGTCGACAATCCCAGTCGAATATAACCGCCATGGCCCAACGAGTGTTTCGTCTCGCACGAAGTAAAAATTTCTCCATCTCCCACGCGCTTTCCATTCATCGCAAGGAGGTCCCTCCCCCCACGCAGCACCACCATAGAAAAATGGTGGCGGAAGGACGAGGCGTCACAGGCGCGCGCATTCATTATATATATATATATATATATATATATATATATATATATATAT